AAGAGGATTATACAGCACGCGAACTCCTATCGCCCTTTCGACGATTGAGGCTCAAGCTCGTGCGAAAACTCCTACTACTGAAGTTGCTGATCCATTTACATTGTAGTCTCATTCCTAGTCTCCTTCATGTATGTTCTCGAGGAGGCTCCAGCAGTATACTAGTCTATGACCGTAAGCTTCGGATCGTTTTTTTTTCTGAAACCAACCCCGCTGGGGGGAAATTACCGCGGGGGTTAGTGTTTGGGGTGTCGGCGCGTGTACTATGTTATCACGCTCGCGGGCTCTTGTCGAGAGCGTGTTGCACAAAGGAGTGACGCAAGTTCCTTGATAATTAGAGAGAGTTTCACGAGTGACAGACGTGAGCAAGAAGAGCTCTAGGCAAAGCCTGCTGCACCAAGTCTGTCTATCATACCCACATATATCTCATCTGCGTATCCCCCTCGGAGATCTCGGAGAAGATTATCCTGCCGAGTACACACACAAACGGTTAGTCTTTTTTTTTTCCAGCGCTACCCCGGGGGGAAGCCCCCCCTCGGGGGGTTGTGCAAAATAATGATGGTCCACACACCACACACACAGCGAGTGGTGGTGAAACTGAGATGGGTAAGGTTTACGCGTTCAACAAGCAGAGGGAGGAGGAACGTAAGAGCATCAAAGACGCGAAGAGAAAAAAGACAGTAACAGGTACCATTGCCTAAGCTCATGCACAAGAATTCGCAGTTTGTCCGCAGGAACGAGCTATTTTTATGCTTCGGTTCTACCTTGAGTTGTGAGATCCAAAAATGAATACGATTATTTTTCCCCTTGTGCGCAAGGTTTCGTCAGAGTGCTGTAAATGGTATGTTTCAGCTGACTCAAGGGATGATAAATGCAAGAAATAGACAAAAAACGAAATAATTTCACCCATAAAACAACGGCGAGGGCCAAGTGACAAACGGTACACCTAAATCTCGCTCGAAGCGCAGATGATCTGCAAGTGAATTTTCCGTCCCATATCATGCTTTTGTGCTCGGTGAAATAGTCTACATCCCCCCCGGGGGACTCGTGGGAAATGGTACCCCGGGGGGGAATTGACATACATACCCGGGGGGGGGGGGGGGTTAGTCGAAAACGATCTACCCCGGGGCTAAATCAACGAACTCATGCTTCCAGGCCAAAAAGGTAATGGGGGGGGGGGACTCTAACCTGGGGGAAAAACTCATATCGTTCAAACATTCTTCCACAGAAAGAACTATGAGATGCCGCCTTCTGACATATTTCATAGTCCAACGTAGCATACTCGTCTGATACAGAAACCCACCCACAGAAGGGCGGGCGCGTTGCAGTCCTGGAATGGCAGATTCATTCGTTGTTTGACCCGAGAAGACCATCCCCCCCTCTTGCGAGGCTGGACTACATGTACATAAAAAAATGTACTTTAGGTCACCTGCATACAGTAGTCACGGCCACACACACACAGGCTCACCACCTCCTACAAGAACAAGCTCAGAAATTCCACAAGAAAAAAAATGTGAAACACCGTGAGACATGAGCCCAGCCGCCGATCGGTGTGTTTTTGTCAGTTTTTCAGTCCATGCTGGAGTCATCAGGGAGGGAGAAAGTGCTTTCGAATCTTGCCCATCCCCACATTCATTCTTTATGAGTGGGTACATCACTCTAGAAACATTTTTCGTACACATTCGGCCCCAGGTCGCCCCGGTGGTCGTTTAGTAGTTGACGGTGACGACGTACAGGAGATCTCGAGAGTTTGATTCGCTCCTGGAGTGAAAATTTCACTCTATTCACTCTGCACTCTGGGATATACCAATAGCCGCTATTATTGTGAAACACCTTGACTACAATCACACCCACTCGCTCTCAAACTTCAAATATCTTGCTACTTCGACTTCACGGTCGATGAGGGAATGGGATCACTGAATCCCTCTCGCGACACAAACTAAGGGAAGTCCCGCGGGAGGGAAGGCGGGGCATCAATGCCAAATACAGAAGTGAAAAGAACAAATCAGCTCCGCTGAAAAATACCTGGTGTAAACTTCTTCCTGTCTGTCTGTGTAGACCCGGGCTGACACAATGCTGACACGTCAAACATTACATTTGCGGATACGTATACTGTAGTACACTGCCACCATGAAAGAAAACAAAGCACGTACATGTGAAAATGTGTGCAAATTCGTCATTCCCGAAAAATACTCGAACCCACAACTTTGTTGCTACTGTAGCAGAATCCTACAGTAGGTACTGTAGATAAATAAACCGCGCTGGCGCTCCGTGCCCTACGTGGATGTGGCACACAGTCGAGAAAATGTGATCATTCCCGAACAAATGATCAGCAAGGAAAACTCCATGTCGTTTGTGTCTACTCTTGTGCATACATCCGCCCAATTCATGCTGGGGAAGCGTCGTTGGGGGGATGGGAGGGATCGCTGAGTTGTATTGTACGGGGGGAGCGTTGTTCAAGAAACCTAAATTGCATCATTTGTGTATAGTCTAGCAAATAACGGCGTTGGATAATCCAGTGAATTTTGCCAGTTTATTTCCGTGGTCGGTCGTGGTTATGGTGAAACCTCCTCATTCTCTCAAGATCACTTGGGGGTATGTAGAGGAAAGTTTTTGCTTTTGCGTACACATCAACATCCTGGCGCGTGCTCGGGCTCGGTCCATGTGAGTACCGGCCAATCGGCCACATAAATGTACGTCCATGAGTTTGACGCGCTCTAGATAACCATTTGTTTTCCGTGAGGCTAGAAACGGTTGTGTTTTGTTCGGCACGCATTGAGGAAAAGTATTCATCCACATTTGTCCCAATGGCAGAGGCGAAGTCAAGCGAAGAGCTCGTGAAACGCCCATGCGCATAAGTATAGCTCTTTTCCTTGCTTGGTGTCCGCGTGTCCGCATCTCAAACACAGAATCGTCGTACGGCCAAACGCAGCTACCTACATATGTGTACCTCGAACCTCCTGTAGATCAACGTGCGAGTCGTGTTTCAGAAAGCGAGCGGAAACTCGGAAGCACAGAAGAAGGGACGCGTGGCATGTAAAATAACGCATGGCCACGCACAGAGGGTCTGCCACACTTTCAACATTTTTCCCGAAACAACCCGTGGGACTGCCATGGGCAGCCCATGGGTCACCCATGACTCAACCTGCCCGCGGGCAGCCCTTGGGCGACCCATGGGCGACCCATGGGAAGCCCATGGGCGGCCAATGAGAACCCTTCAACCGAACCAGTGTACCCCTAAGCAATAGATTAACTGCTCTGGAACGGTCACTATAGCGGCTAGTAACGCTAGCACTAACGCTAACCCTATCCCCAAGCCCACACGATACGTGCTAGGTTGGCGCTGGTGGCTAAGTTCTAGGTTGATGTAAAGGTGGCCAAGTTCTAGGTTTATATGCCGGTGGCTAAGCTCTAGGTTGAAGTGCCCACGGTGGGTACTTCATGGGCCGCCCATGGGCCACTCATGGGCATCCCCATGGGTCACCGATGGGTGTCCTATGGGCGGTTTTTAACAAAAGTGTCAGTAGTGTGGGAGATTTGGCAAAGAGGAAATATAATGTGGTGGATTCCTGCGGCTTTTCAGTCGCTCTCCGAATCTCGGACAGGTCGCCACAAAGCGACTGCCAGATTTCAAGCCTCAAATCTCCTTCGACGAAACCTTAGGTGTCACCCCCACAACCCCCCCGCTGGCTGACACTACAGGCCCAACCTACCTTTCAGATGCAGATGTACCATTTTCCTCCACACTGTCCATGACGCCTGGTTGGCGGTGGGCTTACAGTAGTACATCGATGCTCTGGGTGCCAGGGCAGAGTCGCGTGTCCGGCATGCAAGGGTGGGCGCCGCCGTCGTGTCACGAACCAGCAGCGGTTTCGGACACTGCAGTATTTGGTCTCATGTTCCGCCATATCCTCACAAACACCCCGTCGCCGCCGAAACACGAGGTTGCGCCAGTCGCCCAGTATTCCTCGGTCAAAGGCCCTCGATCGACGGCGTACATATCCGACACCAACAATATTGTTGGCGAGATATTTTCCGTGGGCCAGGGGATACCGGTGAAACACACAATTCAGATGCAGAGTACTCTCGGGTCGCCCACTTAAATATTGTCGACGGGGGGCAGGGGCGGCGAACGGGTTCAATTTTCCTCCCTAGTTGCCCTCATCTTTGCCGTGACCGACGTCTCGGGTTCCAGCGGGAAATGTTTGATGTAACGCGCAACAGAAACAAGAGACCACTCCACGGGGTGGGGCAGAGGGGCCACCTCGGCGTTGCTCTCTTCGCTACAGAATAATCGACCAGCCGCGGCGGATACCGTTTTGTTTGTGGAACGAATATATTGCGCTCCCCCCCAACCAGATTTTCTCAACAGATGTATGTATGCGGCCGGCCGGCCGGTGCAACGGTGCATTCTTGGGTTTCTTGGCTCATAGGGCGGTCTAACGCAGAACACACGTGCGCCGGCTTTCCGCGTTGACCCTTCCACAGGATATTTTTCTTGCACAAGGAAGAGCATGCGCGGGCAACCAGCTATGGCAACCAAGGGGCCGCTGTCCCGCTCATCGGCCGGGAGGACGTTTCTGCTTCTTTTCGCTCTCACAACACAAGTGCTACTGCAGCATGCTGGCGCGACCACAACTTCTTCGTCGGATTGCGGTTTGGACGACTGCCTTGCCGATGACGTGTGCTTCGCGTGCGTGACGGGGGCGGTTGCTGAGGACGCTGTGGAAGAATACACCGAGTGCCTGTCCACGACCGAGTCGGGCACGACAGACCTCTGCGTGGTGATTTCGGCGGCCGCCTGCTGCCAAGATGCCATTTCCGACAACGGCTGCTTCGAAAACGACGATTTCGTTTCGTTCCACGAATGTGCTCTTTCGATCGCCTCACTAGAGATGGACGGTCAGGACGAGTGCACAGCCCTTGCGTGCAGTGACACTATCAGCAGCAGCAGCAGCAGCGGCAGCGGTGAGGACACGAGCTCCACGACGCCCGCGCCCGCGATGACCACTCCAGCTCCTGCCGCCGCAACAAGCATATCGACCAGCTCACCCGCGGAGGAGGTGGACACGACATCATCTCCTAGCATCACGGTGGACGGGACGATGGCTCCTACCATGTCGAGGTACCTCAGCACAGGTGATGTCTTTACGAGTGACGATCCATGCACGAGCGTCGCGGAACGATGCAACGACGACGAGGACTGCTCCGCGTGCCTTCTCGCGGGAGTCGACCTCGAAACCGAGTACACGGATTGCCTCACCGCTCTGGCGCCCAACTCTTATTCCGGTGCCACCGAAAGCGCCGTCTGTGACGCGTTCGCTGCAACCTTTTGCTGCAACGACCTCGTGTCCGACACGGACTGCTTGGCAGTCGACGTCTACGTGGAGTTCTGGGAGTGCTCGTCGGAGTTCAGGAGCTGCTCGATGGACGACGATCTAGCTGCATCATGCGGAGACGATGACGATGGCCTAGACGATGGCGCCTTCGGCGACGAGGACCTCAGCGGGACTGTTGCGACAGGGTACTCGAGAGCCGTGCTCGCCCTCGTGCTGCCTGTCTCTTTCTTTGTGGCTTTGCCGCAATATACGGAGGAATTCTTGCCTCCCGTCGCCATCCAGGTCCACCGCTTGCACGCACTTACGTGATGCCGTAGGAGGCTGCTACTATCGGTTGCGCTGCCGGGCTGCGCGACCGACTCAATTGCCCATCTTTTCTGTTGCTTTGGTCCCAGGGTCGCCTAGAGGGGATTGGGGGGAGTTCGTTCGTAACAAAAGCCTGGAGAGTGTTTCGTGACCAAAGTCGCGGGAGACAAGTAAGAGAGACGGGTCGATCTGGTGTGGTTGGTATGTTTGTGTTGTGGTGGAGTTCTGGGAACATATGTGTGATGCCGTTTGTGTCCGACCCCCCCCTTCGTGTTTGGTCTCCCACACTTTCCACAGTTTTTCCAAACCGCCCATGGGGCACCCATGGGTTGTCCATATGGGAAATGCCCACGGGCAAGCTCGTGGGTAGCCCATGGGCGGCCCATGGACCGTCAATGAGTGATCTTCGACCAGAACCAGTGTACTCCTAAACAACAGATTATCGGCGTTAGAAGGGGCGAGGAAACGAGGAATAACGCTAACGCTAACCCTTACCCTAACCCCAAGACCACACGATACGTGCTAGGTTGGCGCTGGGTGGCTAAGCTCTAGGTTGATGTGCCGATGGCAAAGTTCTAGGTTGATACGCTGGTGGCGAAGTTCTAGGTTGAAGCCCACTTCGTGGGCAATCCATGGGCTGCCGATGGGCCCACCCATGAGCAGCTCATGGGCAGTCCATCAAGTGCCCATGGGCGGCCCATGGGCTGCCAATGGGTGCCCCATGGGCGGTTTAGCAAAACTGCCGGTGGTGTGGGAGATTGTTCTTGCTGTACACTGTACGTGGACGTTCGTTTGCCGGAATACTGGTAGACTACAAGAAAGTACTACGTATATTCGTGTGAAAACAACACAATACCATAAGCGGCTGTATTGTCGTTACGAGCCACGAGGACGGCGGTTTCATCACATCCCCGCCTCTTCCTGGCCGTTATGTCGCACAGTTACAGTAGACAGACAACCCTTATGCTGTGCAGAGGACAATCCGACACTACTTACAGTGAAAGTGCTTGTCTTGCAGGATAGGCAGGCCTGTGCCCGTGTTACAACCGAAGGTCAACAAAAAAAATCGTCTACATACGCCTTTCTTCACCAAGGCGTTGCGCCTACATAGTTGCGCTTCACGGCTGACCCGAGACCCAAAGGCAAACAGACAGAGCGTTTGTCGGGCCTCCCTACCGGTCGTGTACCCTGAGAATCACACACTGCGACAAAGTCTGTGCATGCATGAACCACCAGCCCGTATTACTCTACGTTGTGGCGCAGCGTGTTCTTCCTCTCCTGCTGAGACCTCATTGCCCCAAGCATCCCACGCGCAAGTGAGATCCACCAACGCATCGAAATAAAACGTCCTACGTGCTCCGTGTCCCCTTCGTTCCGTTCCATGAGGAGGGTGTTTCATTCATCATCCGTTTGCAGCGAATACACATTGTACAATCATCATGGTGCTGGAATGTTTCATAAACGCGCGGGCTTTGCGGCATCTGGGGGTAGGAAATCATGTGGGCAACATCTTAATACTCAAAGACACGACTAAGGCTGTGTGGACAGGCAATGGGCTGATGTGAGACTATCCGATGAGTCATTGGTACCTCCCTCAGTAAGTTGTCGAAAGGTTCACTCAAAAAGCCGACCGACCCATACGGCCGATTTATTTCACTGTAGGTCGTATACAAGTTAATCCCCCCGCCACAAGCCCGAGCAAGGAGTCGCTCTGCCTTGAGCTTCGTCTTCCAGTCCACCTTCCTTGGCCGAACGTTTTTGGCTGGAGTCGAATACTGGAAACGGGCTCCCTACCCCTTCCAACAGACACTCATACTAATGTATATTTCGTCAAGGCCCATCCAATGAAGAAGTGGTGTTCCAACCTCTTGGTGTCTTTATAGCGGCATTGGATAATCGCACTGACGTGGATGTCTTCCTGAAACAGGAGAGAGTTAGAAATCTCATTGTCCTAAATTTTGTAGTACTATGTTATCGGCACGTCAGGGAGTGAAACCGCTGTTTGGTGAAGAACATGAAGAACATATACTCAGCACCGCTGCCTGCAGTTCGTTCGTGTTGTGCGATTTTGGCACGGCACCTCTCTTCCTGCGTATCAGTTCCACCTACTATTACCTGCAGCAAGAAAAACACCACACATTCACAGTACCACTACAGTCACTGAGGTTTTCAGTTGGAAACCTTGTGAACTCATCTGTCTGTCTCTTCATGGTCGGGGACTGGGCATCTCTGGATTGAAAATGTCGCGAACAATCTGCCAAGGCACGACGAAGCAGTGAATACACGACAGTGTTAAGGAGGACCCGATTCGCAGGGTATCCGTCGATTGACTTTTACCAGAATCGGTACACCTTCGCATATGGCGTCAGCTGGATACTGGTTCGAATGTCCTTGGGTGCACGTTTTTTCTCCTGACTTGGACATTTTCCCATGGACACAATGTGTGTCAGTCCTGAGAACACCTCTTGGAATCGATCCTATAAAGAACCTTGTGACACTTCCATCGAATTACCCGTCCTGGCCACAAGAGGTTCCCAGTTGAGGGTAAATTCTGTGGGTGGAGAGTGTTAAGGAGGACCCGATTCGCAGGGTATCCGTCGATTGACTTTTACCAGAATCGGTACACCTTGGCGTCAGCTGGCATTACACGGTAAGCGGGTGCTGGACGCGGCCTCCACACTGCTGTGTGTTGTTGTCACGCTTTCTTCACAATCACTGGGTTGTTGGTTATTTGGTCTCACCACCCACGAGAATCTAGACTTAGCCTTCTCTGCTTCTTCTCCTGTCGAGATGCTGGCTTGCGATGCGTTTGCTAAGCGTCCGTGGGACTGGGACCTTGCGAAGGATACGCGCCTCGGCGGTCATCGCGATGTTGTAGGTGATTTTTCCTACGTTCGCCGCCCCTCCCGAGCTATTTTGTCTGCATCGGCGGTCCATGAAGTTATTTCGGTGGCGGACACGCTTTGCATGCAGCAACCGGAGTTGTTGCCTTTGTGTAGTGGGACTCGAGATGATAGCATGCTTCCCGCGTCCGCTACCACCTCTACTGCATTCATGCCGGCGTACCGGCCGATGTCCGCGGATTTCCCTGTGGTGCTCTCCGATTTGACTCCGCTTGTTTCGACGTGGAGAGCGTTGTGTGCACACAAATTGGGTATCAGCCGCCCCACCAGCCTTCCCTCCATTTTTCGCAATCACATGGAAATTGTTTTTGGAGCATCATTCACCCTCAAGGCATTTGATTGGAAACCTTTCAACAGCGCAAACCCACAGCGGTCTTTGCTCGCACTTCGGCACCCGTTGCGGAGGAACGCCGTGCTGCTCTGCGTGTGTTTTGGTCGGACAATCTCGTGTCTCCAGTTAATACTGCTGTGTATGCGTGGCATGGTGTGCTTTTGGACGCCTTTTCTGCTTGGTTGGATCCGCTTCAACCTCGTGTGCATCAAGCTTTTATCACCGGGCGTATGCTATCCTGTGGGTATCTCCGTTTTTCGCATGGACCTCGGCTTGCTTCTACCGCGATTACGCCCCGCTTTACTGTTTCCGCTGAAATCGGTTCTGCTGTCGCAACAGCGGTTGGGGGTGACACATCTGCTGTTGCTGGCCGTTCTGCACTTGTAAAAATCGATAGTAGCTGCCCTTCCTCTGGCCCTGTCTTTTTGAAAAAAGAGAACACCATGTCCAGCGGCTATGTGGAACTGATGGACGGCAATGAGGAAATCCTCGATTACGAGGCCGAGGGCGAGCCGTCCACCGCGGAGCTGATGGCAGGGGCCGGGACGGGCGATGAGAGCGAGTCCACTCCAGGCGCGTCCACAGCGGATGACCTGAGGTACAACATCGCCACGGCGGATCCGGCGGACCTGGAACAGGCGTACACCGCTGGACGGATCTCCCTGCGCGACGTGGTCAGGGCAGCTCGTTTGTCTCCTGGTTCCCCCATTTGCGCTCGCCCTTTCTCGCTCCCGCAGGAAGACACGGTGATGCACTTGCCGCAAGATGAGTTCGTCGCCTATCAAGAATTGACCGAGATGTGGCACCGCGGTCTGGCTAGCAAGGTAGCGGCGGCGGAAGAGCGGAAGCTGCTGGAGGAGCGTGAGGCTGCTCTGGCGGATGATGCGAGGAAGCAGGAGGAGGAGCGTCAGGCTGCTCTGGCGGAGGCTGCGAAGAAGCAGGCGAAGGAGCGTGAGGCTGCTCTGGCGGAAGCTGCGAGGAAGCAGGAGGAGGAGCGTCAGGCTGCTCTGGCGGAGGCGGCGAGGAAGCAGGAGGAGGAGCGCGAGGCTGCTCGGACTGCTGCGCAGAAGAAAGCGGAACTAGCGGCGCGTGAGGAGTATGTCCGGGCTGCTAGGGCGAAGCAGGGAGCGCTCCGATCACGGCTGGAGGACCTCGAGCACCGGCCGCAAGCTTCAACTTTGCTTTCGCGACCCGCCCATCGTCGTGTCGTGCCCCCTCCCACGCCCCAGGCGGCTCCGGAAGTGGCTGATGCTCCCCAGTTTTCTGTGACGCTGGGTGGGCCGGCCGGGGATGCCGACGGCGCGTCGGACGACGAAGCCGAGGAGTACAGGTTTCACGCGGAAGACACAGCGTTCCTGTCCCGTCCCCTTTCCACGCCCACTCACGTGATCACCTTCCATGATGCTGATCGAACTAGTGCCCTTTTTGCGTGGGCTGGCCTCCAACAAATTGTGCGTGACCGCTGTCCCGATTCTTATACAGACATTTGTTGGTTTTGCACATCTTGTATCGAGTCCATTCCTCGACCAGCTTGAACCGTCCTTACGACAGAGTGTGTTTCGGTTAGTGTCTGCTCTCCGTAGGGCTTCTTTCACCGAGGGTCCCCAGGGAACAGCGGTGGTGGTGCACAATGGGGGAATTCGGTTGCCGCTAGCTCGTACTGCAACTAACGACGATTTTCAGCATGATCTGCAGCTCCCTCGGCAGGATTCTACAAGCCGTGTCCATGCTTCCGGCGGGACCAAGGACTACAGTCTGTCGGCGGCTCC